CTACAAAGCAAATTAACTGGGTAAACAAAAAATATTTGCTTAATTAACTGACAAAAACTTTCGGCACAAAGCACACACATACACACGCCATAAAGGATATGCGGCTAGGCGACTGGTAGAAGCCCGTGAAAATGTTTTCATAACGCACACTTTTCACCTAGACAAATGCAAACAAACATATATTGCGGATGGCAGGGCAGGACGAAGGACACGTGCCTACAAATGGGTTGGGTAAAACTTATTGACAAGCTCACAGCTGGCAAAATATTGTGGGGAAACAAATACCACACAGAGATGGGCATAAAGCAGGCGTAAAACTTGTACAGGTCGCAGCGAATAGTTGACTAACGTGGCGTATGCGCAATTAACATTTATGGTTATTAATTATATTATGCATACGACGCGTTGTACACAAAACACAAATAGCCTTGTGTGTGTGTGCGCGTGTATGTATGTGTCAGCTTCAGCTTGTTTATTTCACTTTATCTCGATTATATAGTCGACATACTCGTTCTCTCAAACACTCACTCTCCCCCACTCTCTCCCCCAGTCTCTCTCGTTCTCCATTTCTATCTGCCGCTTAATTAAGCCATAAAATGCATGCTACATGAAAGTTTGCGAACAAGTTTTCCGCCTGCCTTCACCTCAAAGACGTTTAAACTAATTTTGGCACAAGGGCTAACAACTTGAGACCCGGCGGCGTCTCCTCTGTCATTGTAACTTAACCATAATTATAGGCAATCAAACGTTTTTATTAGACGCTCCAACTAATGATCTTTTGTGCGCCGCGTTCTGCGGCAAGGTCAAGTCTTCAACTTAAACCCAATACGAAGCTGTTCAACCCGCCTGCCTTTGGGCCCCGTCAATATGTGTGTGGACTTATTAATTGCTGCCGCCGCTGCAGCTACAACATCTGATTAGCAGCCAAGTCCAAGCAAAAAACCCCGCCACTCGCAGGCATTTCAGAATTCATAATTGATAGACCAAATGATATGGTTCTGGAATGTGTGAGCTACAGCATTGAAAGTGCTGCCAAATATGGATTGAGGGCATGTGCAAATGTATGCTAAACACAGGCTGTCTAGCAAGAGCAGCAGAAATGGATGAACATGTGCTGAACTGAGTAATTATGTGAGCTGCGAACTGCAGAAATATGATATGGAAAAACTTGTTACCATTTACTACGTAGAGCTGTCTATACCAAGGCTGCAAGCCGGCTCCAAAACGGAATTTCATTTTATTTTGTAATATGAACCGTATGTATATCAAACCAAAGCAGCTGCAGAAAAAACAGTTGAAGCACAGCTCAAACTATATTTTATTTGAAAGATGGTTTGTTTGGAAAAAAAGAGCTTTTGAGGAGACTCAGTTTTAGTGATTGGACATTGGATTTATCTAAATATATTTGTTTATTTACTATTTTGCGTAGAGATCATATTAAGCCCGTGATTTCTTGATGAAAATATTTACGGCTTGAAATATTCTCAGCAGAACAGGCATAATTAATAATTAAATTGTTCTATTAAAATTTAAAAAATATATCGCTAGCCAAAGTGTGAACCAAGCCCTGTGCTTAGTGTTGTGGAAAACCAGGTTTACGAACCAAACATTCAGGCAGGTTGACAGTTCAAACAACTAGCTGAACCAGCGACTTTTCTATGCTGCTGCACTTGAAACTTGTGAGTTGCTGCTAACGGACACGCCTCTTGAGCGGACACAAATTGGCGCAGGGTCGACGTCCGCAAACAGTTTTCACTGTATTTAAATTTGGCATGGTATACTTAAGTTCTTTATGTGCTTATCAAAAGATAATTTGAAGAGTTAATTATAGACTTATTTTGCAAATATTCTTTGAAAAAATTACATTAATATTAGTCAAAAATATATATATTTATATAGTACATATGTACACATATGTACAAATTAAAATTATTATTTGACAAAATTCTATCATACATTTTATGTTAAAAGAAATAAACATATTTTATATATATTAACTTTTCTACTATATACATTATTATATATAATTACTTATTCTATTATTTCAATTGGAGTAATTTTTGTACCAGGCTTTCTAGAATATGTTAGCTAGTATAATAATATTATACTGTATTAATGGAACTTCCCACGCAACACCTGCCTAAGCCTCTAGCTAACTTTCCAAATTAAAACGCCACTTACAGCCACGCAAAGGTGCCGCTACTTAAAGCCCTGCTCTGCTCAAGATTTGGAGTTCTCCATGTTATCAGTGCGCCCAAAACTAACACTAACAAGATTTATGGCCCAATTTCAAGGCCATTCTCCGCGCACAGACACACACATTTACAAATTTTTAAATTTCAACCTGCATTAGCTAATCTAAGCAGACAAGACGCAAATGAGAGAAGGCAAAACTTTTTAATTACCAACAGGAAAAACATTCAAGATAACCGAAAGTCAGTGGAGACAGCCTGCCAGCTGGGGGTGTGGCGGGGAGGCTGGATGGGCGACAGCGTCGGACGGCAGCAAGAAAATTTACATAAATTTCAAATATAGCAAGAGGAAAATTGTGTATTATTCAAGTTTTATGTGCGACTTTATCGCCACGACGAGACAAGATGAGACGAGACGAGGAGACGCGGAGCCGAGCTCAGATGCAAGTCCGAGTTTGAGTTCCTGGCTGTCCTAAACCTTTTCCATTTTTTTTCTTGGCTCTCAAAATGTATTTATGACTTGTGTAAATACCAGAAACAAAATTCAACACGAGGCAACTTTTTTCGTTTTTGTTTTTTTTTAAGCCAACTCACGGCTACAATTTTACAGCTTAAATATTTTTTAGCCATTAGATAAACAAACACGAAGAGCCGTAAACAGGCTGTGAAGAGCCGAGTGGAGTGGAGCTGGTTAGTTGGGGGAGTTGGAGAAGTGCCACAAAAAGTAACGAAAATATCTTTCAAGTACAATGTTAGGTAAATATAAACAAAAGTTTTTTTTTTCCCCAACTTTTTCGGGTATCTTTTAGAACTTGGCTGCTGCTGCAGCACTTTGCTGCTGGTTTTCTTACGTTCTTCTTGTGGTTGTTGTTGTTGTTTTCTTTTTGGCTACTTAAAGCTTTTAGAGCATAAGGAGTAATATAAATTACATTAGCTAAGTGCCAGGCAGCAATTAAAAATACCCGAGACTCACGTCCCGGTGTTAAAGTCTTGCTAAGAACTGTGAGAGAAGCTGCTAATGATGTTATGGGTGCCCCCATCATCATCGGCATCATCATTAGCATCATTATCGTCAAGCAGCAGCATTAGCAACATCATTAGAGCGTCAACTTAATCAAGGTTAAAAAGCATGTGGCACATGCCGGAAAATTTGTGGCTGCCGCTGGCTGCTGCTAATGCAACATTTTCAAGTGGCAAGCGTCGAGCATGTAAAACCCAAATATATATATATATACGAGTGTATAAATATCATCTAGATATATTCTTTGATCATATTGATGATGTGCCCATTCAGCAGGAACGTAATTAGCTGCGTTTGTTTATCTGTTTGCCTTGCTGTGTGTGTTTATAGTAAACATACATTTTCAAATTTCCCTACATTTTTCATATGTTGCAACCAAATGATTGGAAAACTGCGAATGTTTTGCTTGCTGCGCGCAAATTTGTTAATGCGATTACAAAAGTGTGTGTGTGTGTGTGTGTGTGGGAGGCGGGGAGGTTATATAGTGTTAAAAGCTGTCATTAGAAGTTGTGCAAGTGTTGTGTAATGTTAAATGATGTAATTGGTGGCAGCTCTTTTGGAGTGGAAGAGCTTGAATGAATTTTGGGCAAAATGTAGACCAAAATACATAAAACAAAAGCACATCGATAAAGCAATAATAAACTGTTAGCTAAGTTCTAAGCCAAAATAACTGCTAAGAATTAAGTAAAAGTTAGAGTTTAACTTAAAGTTTAGATACAATTATATTTATTTTAAGTGGTTTAAGTAATCTAAGCTGGAATAGCTGCTTAGAATTAAGTCAAACATAGAGCTTAGATTAAATATAAGATACTATTAGACATAGATTTAGGTAAATTTCAACACAATAAAACTTTATTTTCTGATCTAGGCTAGAATAGCTGCATAAGACTTAGTCAAAGACAGAGCTTAATTTGAATATAATAATAATAATAATTTTAACCATATTTCAACTTTATTTTCTGCCTGAGTTTTCGTCTCTGCAGCTGCTCCTTACAGCAGTTTTTCCGAATTACCCAAACCTCAGCTAACGCATAGCAATTGAGTTATTCTAATGTTATACAACATTCAGCTAACACAAGCCAAACCCAACGTTATGTCAGCTCACGTTTAGGCCATTAAGCAACTGTTCTAAGCCAAAGACACACACACACACTCACACATACATACGTACAGTGAACACGCCCAGCAAACACCAGCAGCTTCCATCAGTCAAGAACAAACCGGGAATGGTAACTGTTCCGCAGAAGTGTCAAGCACTTCCACATAAAGACCTAAAACACAAACATTTCTGTGTCGACGCCCAGCCGCCCAGTCAGAATGCCAGCCCAAGCTGAACCTCTCAGATCGAGCTTCATTCATGAAGATTGAGACAGAGAGATTCACATCTAAGTGCGAGAACAAACACAACCGGCCACAAGGAGGACGACAACAGCACCTAACAAGTTCCCGGAATTGCACAAGCTTTAAGATCTTCTAACGAAACGCAAACCTGTGTTCCACTGCCCGAAAATTTGGGTACGACATAATTAATGATTACAAATTTTCACAAAACGAAAAACTCATAAAACCTTATCGATCGCTGTGCTCGCTAGCTAACAACAACAACAACAAGAACAACTGTCAGTACTTCATTGAGTCAATTTCCTGAGCTGCAAGCTCGCAGCTAAAGATATAAATTACACGCAAGCTGTTGACTGACAGGAAGACAACAAAAATGAAAACAAAACAAAAGCCAAGCTAGAACTCAAGATGTTGGACATTAATAAGTGAACTTAATTAAAACTTACGCTGGAAAATTGTGCGTGGAAAACACTTGGCGTGAATTTATTGTTGCGCGACACACAAAAACCAAAACAAAACTCGAATTTCGGCAAACAAAAGAAACACGCAAAATTTGCTCGATTTTTTCGTTTTCTATTGATGGCAAATGTATCTGTGAGATACGCGTTTGGCAATTGGCAATTGGCAAAAAAAGAGCATTCATAAACGCGAGGCAAACATTTCATTAATTTTCGCACACACGCCGCACCGAAAACGAGTTACCACGCTCAGATACAACAGGCCGCCAGTGCATAGGGCAGAGGGTGGGGCGGAAAATTTGGACACGCGCGAAAAACTGCGTAGCACTTGGACTGCGGCACTCGAACTAAATGGGCAGCTGTATTAGTTTTGGCTAACGGTTCAGTTTGAGTTTTGGATTAGGTTTCTGTATCGGTATCGGTTTCGGTTTCGGTTTCTGTTTCGGTTGCTGTTTTTGGGGGGCACTCAATTCGCTTGTCCATAAAAACGTCCAGACACGTTCACGTACTCGGCTCAACTGGCAAAAAGTATCTGAGAGCGAGGCGGGCACCGCACGCGACGAAACTTGTTTATGAACTAAAGTATCTCGCTCGCTCGTTCGCTCTCCCTCTCTCTCCCTTTCTCTCTCGCGTCGTGCGGCAACACGAGCGCACGAAAGCCGAAGCGCACGAAGCAAACCCAACGAATTGGGTAGGCCAAAATTTATCTGAGAGCCACTGATAAGCGTTGAGTGAGAGAGCGCAAGCAAGAGCGTGTTTCGCACTCAAGTTGGATTCAAATTGGACTCTCATTGAGTTAGATAAACGCGTGGTTCGCAACTTGGCTAAACGTTCAAAAACTCTCATTGAACATTTGTTTTCGTTTATTTTTTTTTTGGTGCTCTATTGTTGTTTTTTGTTATTTTTACGACACTCGTGGGTGTCAATGGAGTGTGTGTGTGCTCAATTGGCTCGCTATGGGTGTAGTGGGCACAGGTGTGCAAAAACGACGTGTGAGACAAAGTGCCTGCTGATTCCATGAAGTTGTCAAGCAAACAAATTAGTCTACAGCATTCGGAAGCAGTTGCAGAAAAGCCGAGGCAAATAAAGGCATAGCTTAACACATTTTTGAAGGCTTTGATAATGGAAAGATCACATTTTGCTTTTGCCAGAATAATAGCTGGCTATTGTATATACTGTAAGTATTAACCAATAAATACTTCATATAGCTTCAGATTATCAATAGATAATATACTTTCTCAGTTATTATATTCCCTATAAATAGGTCAACATTATTTTCATAATCTATCCTACGCTCTCTTAAACGATCTGCCAATTGGAACCGCTTTCTGCACAGAGCCTCTTTATGTAGTCTAATAAGTTAATAACACATAAATTCTTATCGGTCTATCAGCAAATATCAATAGATATTCAGTGCGGCTTGAAGTGCACACAATATGCAAATCAGATTTTTTGGGAGCGGTCATTGCAACAACAACGACAACAACAGCGGCAAAACTAAAAAGAAGAGGAATGCATCGCCAAAGATAAACAGAGAGCCCAAACACGGCAAACAGAGAGAGAGAGAGCGCGGGAGAGAGAGAGTAAAAAGTGCGAGAGTTAGCTTTGTTTTGCCGGCATTCAACTCAATCGCACTTCTCAGTTGGGTTAAATTCTCTCTCTCGCTCGGTTAGATAAAAATGCAATCGCATCAAGTTTTCCCAACCCTCTCGCATGTGCTAGTTCAGCTAAACGCACATAGATGGCGCTGATGTGCATTAGATAAGAAAAGCCGCCTTCGATTGCAATTTGTTGTTGTTTTCTTTTTGTGTGCTCGCTTTTGAATTTGGCTGCAGTTCGTTTCTTCTTCTCCGTTTTTTTCTGTTTACAAAAAGCCGGCAAACCGAACTGAAAAGTGTGAAAAATCTAGGGGAAACGGGACTCAAAGTCACATTCTTGGAAAGTGCAGGGCAAAAAGTGTCGCCAGTTGTTGCCGCGTAATCAGTTTTTTTTTTTTGTTTTTTGGTCTACGGCTGCCGGAAGTTGCAACACGTCGCCGTAGACTAACGCATATGCTGCCTAAAGCATAACGATGTCGTTGTCGTTGTCGCCCCAACACACCCCAACAATTGCAACCCCCAACCGCCCGAAAAACATGTGCGGGGGAGTATTAATCGCAAATTTTCAATGTGGAAAAAGAACTTGAAAGTTGGGAGCTGAGTTATTGCACGGGCGGGTGGCGTTTCGGGCATTGTTCGAGTGTTGCCCCAAACCACAGTTGGCAACACTTTTTTTTCCCCTTTGTGAACATGTGTGAACAACTGCAGTCGCAGTCGCAGTCACAGTCCCAATCTTTTGGCTTCGGCCGCATTCGTAGGCTAGCAACCCCCGATGACATCCTTCTGGCGGGCAGCCCTCAAGGCAGCGATTAATCATGAAATTTTCACAGAAAATATCCATTAGATACGAATTAAGTCATAATTGAGAGTGCAAGCCGTGGCACGTTGAAGTGCATGTTCGGAGCGACAATGAGAATGGAGAATGGGCAAAGGGAGCTGAACATTTGCCTTTGGGGGTAGCTTTCGGTTGCACGTTGGGTGGGTTGTTAGGTTGCCTTTCCCAGTGTGCGAATGTGTGTGTGTGTGTGTGTGAGTGTGTGCGTGTGTGTGTGCGCCTGCATAAATGAAGTGTGCCTCCGGGGACTATATGTGCCTCAAGTGTCTGCGACATATTTATTATCCGTATGCATGCGGAACAAGAGTTTTGCCTAGAATATGCTTTGAAGCAGAAATTAAAGATCCTTTGCAAGCAAATGGGCACTTTTCAAGTGCTTGCCAAACCTGAGTAGCTGTAATTACAGTTCGAGTGCCACTGAATTGAATGTAGGAATGTGTTGGAGTGTGCGTGCATACACACATGAGTGAATGCATTTTTAATAGCAAAAATTTGTGTATTGGAAAATATGGCAAAATTATTAGAATCATTTTTCTTTGCCTAACTTTAAATTTTTTTTAAAAATCTATTTTGTGAAGCTTTATTAATTGTGTATTGGGCCTAAAGCATTGAAATTAAATATTTGAAAACTCGAATAAAATATATAGTGACAGAAACATAAGTGTTTGGGAGCTTGAAAAGATGTGTAGTGCTAGGAAGGAAACTTCCAAAGAAAAAGAGTATAAAATTGAATTTTTTTTTTTGAAATTAAATAAAAATCGAGAAAGTAAAGATATTTTCGACATGTACAAGATTTTATAACCTTGAAGATATATTCCTCTTGGAGATATATGAGAATAGTGCAGCTCGTAAATGATGAGTTTGATGAAAATATCTTAGAAAGCTGAATATTTTGCCACACATGAAAGAACTTTTCGACCGATTGTTCCTATGGTAGTTATATGATATAGTCATCCGATGTTGAGAAGATTTTTCAAATATGTAGGGAGCATAGTAAAACTTATACACGACGAGTAAAATTTGGCCAATTGCGAAAACTGAGGTGGTTGCAAAAACCGAGGGAAACTTTTCTGTTGGCCACGAGACCTATTTCCAAAAAAACATGCCTTTGCTTACCAGTAAAATAAAAGTAAATCGAATAGTTCTGTGTTCAAAGCAAGGATTTCATTTTAATTTATTAATTTTTTGAAAAATTGAGAAATTGTGGTCTGTACTTTTTTACAATTTATACTTTTCTAAACAGCTGTTTCTACAATGTTGAGAAATCGGGTGTTGCAATTGCAATTGCAATCGAGGAGTTGCGTAGTTGCGTGTTACGAGGGTTGCGTTGAGCGAGGTCGTACTGTATATCTAAATACACAAGAAAAAAGTTATACAAACAAGAACCTACTTTTCGACTCATTGTTCAAATGACAGCTATATGGGTCGGTCCTTCTATGTGTTGCACATACCAGTTCATAATAATACAGCAAAGATTAATTGTAATCTTCTTTTGTGAAATATTGATCAAGATCTTGGACTTTACTATTGAAGTTTCATACATTTCATTCTACTCCTTTATAACTCAACAATTTTTCCATTTTTAGCCACACATTAAAGTTTTTAAAACTTTATTCCATATCATAATTGCAAATGAACATAAAAAAATAAAAATGAAAGCTTTAAAAATTTCAATAAAAGTTATGTTGCAAATTTGATTCTAGCTCTTAATTAAAAACGAATTTTATATATTTTTTCTTTGCCATTCCAGTGCATGATTATAAATGAATTTTTAGATTTCTTATGTCCACATTTCTAGGCTTCACTGTGGCACAAATACCTATATAAGCCAGCACATAGTATTACGATTCCGTTTAAGCAAATATTAATTACACATTATTAATTTCCGTGCTGGAGCCGCCGCCGCACAAGAATATGAAAAATGATGTGCTTCCTCCAGTTTGGCCTGGGAAGTGGACCGGCTATTATTTAAATGAATTGTTTTGAGCGGACAACAACAACAGCAACAAATATAACAATAACAATAACAGCAAATTTTTGGTCGTTGATAAAACCTTTTCTGTGTGTGGTAAGCAAAAAAAATTTGCGCGTGGGCGAACCATATTTTTTTTTGGTAGGTAACCCCGCTCCCCGCCCCGCTCCAAGCCGTTAAGGGCCCAAGCGGCGGCGGCGGCCTATCTCGATTATTGTTTAATACGCTGTCATTAATCAATTTGTTTGCCATTGTTTGGAGGCCACACGGTAGTTGGCTGTGAATGTCTTTGTGGCCAAATTAATTATGGGCCCAGATCTGAGATGTGTGTGCCGCGCGTTTCGGGCCGATAAACAGAAAAATGTGGCCAAAAGTAAAAACAAAACCGAAAATATAATAACAAGTGCACAAAATAGTGACAAATAATTTGCGGCATAATAAATGACATTGTTTTGCTCGCTGTTCCGAATATAATTTATTATATTCTGCTTGCAAAAAAAGGCAACAAAGGAATAAACGAGAAAATCTGACAAAAAATGTGAACAGCGAAATATCCTTTATATTTTTTTTAACTTAAAGTCAGGGACCTGAAAGCTTAAGTTTGAGGCACAATTTTTGGCTCGGAACCATTTCAATGTTGAATGCGGTAAGAAATGTCTGAGCAAAAAAAAACTGTTACTGGTACATGTAGTATTAAAAAAAGAGTAAAGTATTAATTTCAGAAAGTGCATCGAAATTATTAAGAATTTATCTAAATAGTTCTCTATATATTATTTTACTAGAAGATTTAATTTAAGAAAGTTCTTAAAAGTAGGTACTTATCAAGAATAAATAAACCAACTTTTATTTATTTAAAGGGGTATATACATATATAAAATTAATTTAAAAAGCTGCTTATAAAATTTAAGAATTTATTTGATGAGGTCTTTATACAGAAATAATTTAAGAAAGTGCTTAGAAAATTAAAGGAATTTAAATAAAATTAAAGTATTTATTAAGGAAGGGTTTTATGCAACGATTCATACTTATTTGTTTTCTTCAAATGAATTGTCAATAGAAATTTACATAAATCAACATGAGAAAATATGTGCACACACCTAATGTCTGTTAATTGATAAGGCCCCAT